AATTGGTATATGTTTTGCAGTTTTTCCAAGCATGATTTTATCTTGTGCCTAATTGTTGGGACTATTATCACTATTACTATTACTTCACATTGTTATGTTTTTTCAGTGGCAGAGAAGAGCCAAAATAAAGGTGAGCTAGAGTAAGATAGATAAGAAGTGGGGACTATAAACACTCAGTTACCAGTTTATTTGGTTTAACGATCTAATACTAACTGTAGAGAGTGGACTGTATATATACACTACCAGTCAAAAGTTTGGACACACCTTCTCATTTAATGGTTTTTCTTTATTTTCATGACTATTTACATTGTAGATTCTCACTGAAGGCATTAAAACTATGAATTAACACATATGGAATTATGTAGTAAACAAAAAAGTGTGAAATAACTATAGATTCCTCAAAGTAGCCACCCTTTGCTTTGTTGACAGCGCTGCAAACCCTTGGCCTTCTCTCAATGAGCTTCATGATGTAGTCACCTGAAATGGTTTTCACTTCACAGGTGTGCCTTGTCAGGGTTTATTTGTGGAATTTCTTGCCTTCTTAATGGGGTTGGGACTATCAGTTGTGTTGTGCAGAAGTTAGGTTGGTACACAGCTGACAGCCCTATTTGACAACTGTTAGAATTCATATTATGGCAAGAACGAATCAGCTAAGAGAAACTACAGTCCATCATTACTTTAAGAACTGAAGGTCAGTCAGTCCGGAAAATTGCAAAAACTTTGAATGTGTCCCCAAGTGCAGTCGCAAAACTATCAAGCGCTACAACGAAACTTGCTCACATGAGGACCGCCCCAGGAAAGGAAGACCAAGAGTCACCTCTGCTGCTGAGGATAAGTTCATCCGAGTCACCAGCCTCAGAAATTGCAAGTTAACAGCACCTCAGACTAGAGCCCAGATTAATGCCACACAGAGTTCTAGTGGCAGACACATCTCTACATCAACTGTTCAGAGGAGTCTGCGCGAATCAGGCCTTTATGGTCAAATAGCTGCTAAAAAACACTACTAAGGAAAAGCAACAAGCAGAAAAGATTTGTTTGGGCAATACAAGGAATGGACATTAGACCAGTGGAAATCTGTGCTTTGGTCTGATGAGTCCACATTTGAGATCTTTTGTTCCACCCGCCGTGTCTTTGTGCGAGGCAGAAAAGGCGAACCGATGGTCTCTACATGCATGGTTCCCACCGTGAAGCATGGGGGAGGAGGTGTGATGGTGTGGGGGTGCTTTGCTGGTGACACTGTTTGGGATTTATTCAAAATTGAAGGCACACTGAACCAGCATGGCTACCACAGCATCCTGCAGCATCATGCCATTCCATCCGGTTTGCGTTTAGTTGGACCATCATTTATTTTTCAACAGGACAATGACCCCAAACACACCTCCAGGCCGTGTAAGGGCTATTTGACCAAGAAGGAGAGTGATGGAGTGCTGCGCCAGATGATCTGGCCTCCACAGTCACCTGACCTAAACCCAATCGAGATGGTTTGGGATGAGATGGACCGCAGAGTGAAGGCAAAAGGGCCAACAAGTGCTCAGCATCTCTGGGAACTCCTTCAAGACTGTTGGAAAACCATTTCAGGTGACTACCTCATGAAGCTCATCGAGAGAATGCCAAGAGTGTGCAAAGCAGTAATCAAAGCAAAGGGTGGCTATTTTGAAGAATCTAAAATATAAAACATGTTTTGAGTTATTTCACACTTTTTTGTTTACTACATAATTCCATATGTGTTTATTCATAGTTCTGATGCCTTCAGTGAGAATCTACAATGTAAATAGTCATGAAAATAAAGAAAAACCATTAAATGAGAAGGTGTGTCCAAACTTTCGACTGGTAGCGTATATGTTGTTGTTTTTTTGCCTTTATTAGACAGGACAGCTGAAGAGTGACAAGAAAAGGGGGAAGAGAGAGGGGACGACATGCAGCAAAAGGCCACAGGTCGGACCCAAACCCATGGCCGTTGCAGCAAGGACTCAGCCTTGATACATGATACTTGACACTACCAGCTGAGCTACCAGGGCGCCCCCAACGCAACTGTTTTATTATTTCTGAGTCTGACCACCATATAGAAAAAGAGTAGGGTTAAAGTAATACTCTTCATGAAATGAGGCCACAGTTTGGGCATTTGTTCCTCTCCGCCATGGCTCCTCCTTGTTGCAAATTAAATTAGTTTGACGTGTTTGTTTTGCAGTGAGAGAAAAACATCTAAAAAAAACATGCTGACATTGACAATAGGAATTGATAAGCTCTGTGAAATACGATTCTGATAGATCGGATAGTTTGGAACCGGTTCTCAAGTCCCTAGCAGGTAGTGGGCGGAGCTGTTGAGCTACTATTGGATGGGCTGAAAGCCTGCACCCATTTGCCTATATGTCTTTGGCTGACAACTACTTCTTTCTGGACTAATCACAAACAACAAACCAGTACAAAAATGTCTGGCCGCTCTTGGGGCCTCTGCTTGAGATGTTTTAGCTGCTGATGCCAAATTGGGGGAAGCCCCAAAAGACTCACTGCCAGCCAGCCTTCTAATTCTTTCCTTTAGTCATTGCTATTTTCTTTCACACACACCTCCCCAACAGTGTCCGTGCCTCAACACTAATAAAGAGCTGAACTGCTGGTCATTCTCATCTATAATAGGGATGGTCATCTATTAGAAACACAATAGTGACTATAGTATTTCTACTATATGATATTCATAATCTAGGCAGAGAAATGCTAAATGAATTACCCCTCATACAAATGTTCCTTGCTCTAAGGTTGATGCGGTGTTGTGTGACATATTATTGTCATTTTTCAGACAATGAGAGAAAGGTGGGACAGCCAGCATGTTGTCTTTCTTTCTTTCATCTTCATTGTTGGAGAGTCGACTGATGAGCTAAGCATGGACACACACTGTAGATATCCCACCCAGGCACATCCTTTCTCAACCTAAAACAGACTATTGTAATGCTACAATAAAACTAACAGTGAAAACAGTAACCTCTATGTTTCTCGTTAACTGCCTTCACACTGCCTGAAAGTGACAAGAGGCTAGCCTACGAAAGCCAAGTTTTGGCAATCACACCGTGAGGATTGAATCCACCTTTGCTTGAGGGAACACAGGAAAGGAGACGGTGTCCAACAGCTGTTCATAAAGAGAAAGTTCCTCTTTCCAGCTTTCGGTGTATTGTCAAAGCTGGATGCTGACAGGCTTCACAATTAGTGTAACATTTACAAGGTCTTGCATGAGCTACGCTGCAATTCACTGCAGTCACGCTACTCACATAGCCAGCTGCTGTTCTCCATTACTGGCCAGGCAAGGTGCGCATCTGTGGAATTCAATGTCACTGCTCGGCTTCCACATAAGCATGAATGGCAGCTTTCTTGATATGTGTATGTGACTGAGTCTGCATCTAAGAGTAGTTTATTGTTGTTTGCATTTGTGTCTCTTTAGTAACAGAACCCTGCTTTATATATTAAAGGGTTGAAAAAAAAGGTTTTATAATTTCTTCTGGCATGTTTTCTGTGGCACGAGCCAAACAATGACTAACTGATGCAGATGCACTCGACCTGGCTTTGTGAGAGGCTTACCTGCTGGTGAACTTAAGATGTACATTTGTATAGTAATGGAAACTTCATATTTGTAAGGTATGTAGAAAGTTGTCATGTCCAAATCTGGATAGTTTCAGGCAATATTCGTCTGATGGAATGGAAACCAATAATATCAAAAGTCACCGCCGATGGAAACATTCAGAGATTACTGAACACAATTACAACCATGAAGCGGAACATATTACAGCCCCTTAGTGAATTTAAGTCTCTCCTTTCATTTCAAAGATTTGTAAAACCTTAGCTGACCCCTAGCTATTCTCCCTCTGTGTTGAGATTTTCTTTTTTTCCATACAGCAGAGCACCCTGGCCCAAATTGCTCTAATTTCAAAAACAAAAGGAGCTGCGTTTAACATTGTTTGCCTTCCGTTTTCTCACTAATGTAATTTCTGCAATGTACTCCTGATGAGAGAGAGGAAGAACTCATGCATATGAAAGCCAGAGCCATAGTTCCCAAGTAAGGCTCTGCTGATCCAAGCCAAAATCAACTTCCACCAAATACTTGATATTAGGTCATTTTCACAATATGGCTCTCGCGCAACTCTTGTCCGAGGGCGGGGTTGTGGCAGTCCGGAGGGACTCCTCTGTAACCTGCTCCATGTGTTATCAGGGCTATAAGACGATTGCTTGGTTCCTTATCTTTCTAAACACATAGAGGTAGGCTGAGATTGTATCAGCAATGCTTACAGAAACTAAACGATGGCTAAACATTGCTGAAGTACCAATGCAGCACAACCTGTAATACAGCAAAGGAAAATATTTACTGTACTGTATCGGAGAGAACGGCCGTGGTAAATTTCAACACGGAGGTTTCCAGATATTGTAAGGGTCTACCATTATAATAACATTAATCAGTGCTCTGGCACCATTGTTTGGCAGGCGTTGATGGCCGTTTGCACTCTGCCAATCATCACTCCCTAATACAGCAGAGGTGTAGGAGTGGTGGAATCTCTCTGTACTGGGTGGGACCAGTCAGCTGCCAAGCCAGTGTAAACCAACCCCGACGAAAACACAGGGATGATAAGAAAAACTTGGTGACAACCAATCAAAAGACTGTTTCTCTTTAGCCATTGCCCTGCGTCTCTGCAGGTCTCCCTAGTCTACTGGTGTGTGAACATAATGCGGTTTATACATTTAGCTGCTTTATCCAAACCATAACAGTACATTATATTTCCTTCCTTTCAAGGCACTTTAACAGTATATGTAATGCAGAGGAACTTTCCCTGGTGTATATAAACAAAATCTGTTTGCCTCTATCACATTTCTGCTTTACAGCTGATTACTGAGACAGAACACAGGATTGTGACTACATCTTAAATATAGTTGAAACTGTAAAACATTTTCAGAAGAAAATTTGGATGAATTATACATACTATTTTAACATATGTAAATACAATATAAAACCTGCAACTTACCTGGTTTAGGGGCCTTGCCACCTTGTCCTGTTGGGTGAAAACATTTTCAATAATAATTTACTGTGCAACCATTTAAATTTTGTCTTGATATGATTTCATAAAGTCAGGATACAATTCAATGTCAATTCAAAAGACCTGTTCACGTACAGACAGCTACAATTACATGTTTGATCTATTCAAGAGAAATATTTTCAATTTATGAAAAATGACTGAATAATACAAAAAAAGTGTCTGCAATGTTGTTTATTCTTCATACCTCCGAGTCCTCCAGTGCCCAAGCCACCATGCCCAACACCTGCTGGTACCGAACCGCCCGGGCCTACACCACGCCCTCCACCTCCATAACCTCCGACTGTTCAAACAGACACAGATATGATTGTGAACACTGCTGTCATACTGTCACATTTATCATTATCATCTGCTAACTATGTTTATGTCATAATGATAATTATTTAGGGTTGCCATTGTTAAGACCACAATTGCCATTCTTATTGACCACTGAGCTCGTATGAGAGAAAACAGGGTTCATATTTCCAAACCTCAAACCTCATAATGTCTTCCAATAAACTGGCTTAACAGTAGTGGTTAACCCCAGAGCACATTGTTTACTGCCACAGTAATATCCCTAGGATTTAATTATTCTTAGATTGTGGTGGTGTGACAAGGAAGTCTCACCATGTGTTTCCCCCAGATCTGACCAAACTGTCAACAGGGAATTTGTCTTTACAACAGCAATCTGTTTCTTCTTGGTTTTGTCAACATAAAGGTTGGGCAGCACCCAGATACAAAGTACAAACATCCAACTATCAACTTTCAACTCACAGTATCAGAATATCACAATTTTAAATGTCTTATCACATCAGTTCTTGGCTTTAATGCTTAGCTAAAAAAGGTGCACAGGGTCAAACTTGTTCAGCAAATGGGAGCTGAAGCCATGCCAGGACACTTCCTACGGTTGGTGGACTGCTGCTAAAGTGGACTGTGTATGCAGAGCTAAGTGTATCTGCTATGTGTGAAATGACAAACCCCAGATAGAATATCTGTGGCTGTGCATTTATGAGGCAATGGCCATTTGGACAAGACAATCAGGACCCTGAGAAAGCAACACTGCTTTCATGACAGTAGGATTTCTATATTGTAAAGTTTTAATTTAGTTAAAGCAAACCTTTCACATGTGAACCTCTGCAGGTAGTTTCAGATTTATTTTACAATATAATACAATATACTACATAGAAACAAACAGTAGTGCATGCAACAATTTATGATAAACCAGATGCAATTTAAAAACTGATTTTATATATGTGGAAAAATCATAAATCTAATGTCTCTCCTACTCACCTGCAGCTTTAGCTGGTTTATAGCCCGCAGGGACTCCTCCAGCAGACCCTTATAAAACAACAGTCATACAGAGTATTGAGTTATAGTGTTCCTATATGTAGTGATGTATGAATGGACAGTTTTTTGGCCCAACGATTCATCATTTTTACACCAGTTGACTTTCGTTTTACTTTCTCTCTTCACTGGCATCTTGTGTCATTTTATACACGCAGACAGAGAATACATTACATACCTACATTATGTAATATGTATGCATTTATACATATATTTGCATTTGTGCTTGTTTACTTAATAATTCTTATTTGTTGGTGGTTGTTTAGAAAATATAATGTAGACAGGGAGAGTGCAGAATAAATCAAACTGAGATACATGAATTTTTGGGTCTCTCTAAATAATATTATAAAGAGGAAAAGAGTAAAAGAGTACAATCTAGACCTGTTCTATATAAAAAGTGTCCTGAGATAACTGTAATCATTTGGCACTATAATAATAAAACTGAACAGGATAAATGTGATACATTTTTGCTTGAAGGAAAGACAAAGAACACTTTGAAGCACTGAATAAACATCAACTGTGAATGAGCTATTGTATATATTCGATGGCAAAACTAAATTAGAGTTTTAAGTATCTTTAATTTTAGTTTACATTCTGATATTTTTAGTCTTTTTCGCAAAAGCTCTGGTCTACAGTAGTATAATTTAACTGTTATACATCTGCTAAAGACAAACAGACTTTGTTTGTTGTGGCTGTTTACTGGAAATGTTTTGTTTAAACTGTCCGGACAGTCATTGGAGGCTCTGTTACCTGGAAAGAATCCAGTTCCTGGTCCAGTGCCTCCTGGTCCAATCCCAGCACCAGCTGGTACATACACACCTGGAACACACAACAGAGAAACCGAACGGTCACTGTTTATCACCAACTCGTGGGACACCGCTGAAAAGTGTGGCCAAACAGTTTTTTTATGTTTTTTTTTTATTCCAATGCTTGTAACAGCATTTCTAAACAATGACCCCATTTATCAGACAAACATTTTCAAATACTTCCATCATGTGTGACCCAGACAGCAAAACTGAAATCTGTCCTCTGCATACACATCTGCCCCAGTTCATAGCAGTGATGGGGCGCATGAAATGAACACAGCAGCTCCAGCCAGAGCCAGAGTAAAAGCAACAGAAAGAAAAACTTTATAGGCTTGATTAGGAGAAAATTCCAATTGTTTTCACTCTGATGAGGTATTGCAGTTGGAGACCCTTCTTTCAGAAAGAGACTACAGCACTGCGGACACCCCCCCAAACCCCCACCTGCATCCCCTAGCCTCATTTCTCGTCTGATTTCTGGCTGCAACCCAGAGTAACTCCTGAGATGGTCGTTCTGGATCCCAGACATGGTGGCCTCATGTGTGCAAGGAACAGAAATACAAGAATGGGAGGATGAAAAAATCCTGCAGTTTTTCTGGGACGACTAACAGCTAAATCCAATGGGACCGGTGAGCTAAGGCCAAAATTACAAACTTATATTTTTTGAGGGGAAAACCTGGTTTATATCACTAAAAAATACAACGCAATGGAGAGAATGGGGTTGCAGGACCACAATGATTATGTTTAATGGTTCTTACATGTGTTGGGAGGCCAATTAATTTAAACCACATGTCAAAGGCGTTCATGTGTTTATTAGCGAATACTGTGTGAACACTAGGCTTTGAGTTCTGTCCACTGAGTGCGGCCATTAGGGGAAGAACATTACAAGGTATTACTGTCCGATCTAGCTGAATGGAAATTCATGACAAATTCCACTGAAAATTGCCAAAAAGTAAATATCTGTGCAGTTTATTAAGTATGCCTGCACATTGCTCCATTGCACTGGAGAGGCTTTGATCTCTTCACTAACAAGCTGTGACATATTTAATGGGTTTGTGCCACAATAACATCAGTATTCTGTCTATTGTACTGCTGAGGTTAATAAAATGAGCAGTCATCGCCAGTCAATGGAGGAAACCAGTGAAGTGCAAACCCCCCCCTCCCCCCCAGGATACTAGTAATGGAACGGTTCACATTAAAAAAATCTGAACCGTTTGGTTCGCTTTTCACGGGTCGGGGCTTGTATGTAATGTTCGGTTCATTTGAAATAGGCTATAAGGTCAAAAAGGCAAAAACTTCAAATAAAGTTATTGGGGGAACAAAGTCCTTGTGCCAATCAGTCAGTGAAACGTCTCAGTTGGCATGGAGGAAGTCTGCAGCTGTTAGTTTTGGAAATGGCAAGTGGACAAGACGGAGTAGCCTACAGTTAGAGGATCCGCCAGCTTCGTTTCAGTCTGCTGAATTGGAGCGTCACGGATTTAATGTTACCTATGACAGTGATGGAAAAAAAGTGGTGGATAAACTGGCTACTGTGTGCAAGCACTGTGCAACACGTGTGGCTTATGTTAGCGGTAATACTTTTATGAAACATTTGCATCGACATAACCCTCCCCCCCCACCCGGGTGTCTGTTGAAAGCGAAAGGAGGAGTGTCTGGTTGGAAAGAACAACTCCTTCTTCCCACAGCATTTAGCCTCTCCATGCAGATTCAGACGGGGCACAAACCATAACTAAAGCAGTGGCGGATCTTACATCGAACGATAGGCAACCTTATGCAGTCGTGGAAGATATGATAGATAAATGTGGTAAATGGACATACAAGCATACATACATAAAGGCTCATTCATTCACATTCACACACTGATGCACAGCATTGGAAGTAATTTGGGGATCAGTATTTTGCTCAAGAACACTTTGATATGCAGCAGGAGGAGCCGGGGATTGTACCACCAACCTTCTGGATTAGTGCAGATCAGCTCTACCTCCTCAGTCACAGCCAAACATTTTTACATGAAGATCAGACAGAGCAGCATTTTTTTATTTGTAATAATTAGAAAAACATTTTCTTTTATCTAATATTTTATAATGAAGTGTGTCAAGTGTCCCTTATGTCATTAGCCAGAATTTTGTTAGAACGAAACTGTGAATTTTACGAACAGTTCCACTCCAACAGGATATTGAGATCAAATTAAGTGTGGACCGACTGGCTTGTAAAGAAAATTAGCTAAAGAGTGTTGTCTACACTGCAGAATCTAAATGCTAAATGAGTTATTAATGTTAAGAGGTCAGAGAACAACGCTGTTATATGTACGTAGCTTCTTCAAACTGCACAAGCCCGATTAGAAAGGGGTAAAAACATTTGTCTGTTTTTGTTTAAGAGAAGAAAAAATACTTTTTCATGCAGAAAGCAGCATGCCTACAGGGGTTTACAGAGTATGGTAATGTACAATGTAGGTCAATTTGTCATAATTCGTTTTTTTCAGAGGCAGTGTAAAGGGGAACAGATATGGTGGCAGCTGTAGCTTTTACAAAAGAAAAAAGACTATGAATGAACATCTGGACAGATAAGAGGAAGGTTGCCTTTAACTCATCTTGACTGGGAAGATCTGGGAGCTGGACGATGGCATCGGGTTTCTTGAGGTTTGGCCTCGTAATACTGAGGACTGACTGAAGAGAACTCGAAATCCTGTAGGCTCAATTAAAAATGAGGAATAAATAATAACGTCCAGGGTTCTGCCTTTAATAATCAAACGGCTAAGACTACACAAGTAATGTGTTTATGTATGCCTCTGTCAGTTTGCCCATGCAACGGGCTCCATGGCAGAGAACTCAGGTGCAGGCACCACACGGCGGAGTGGAGTGATTGTTCTCAATTCTGCTACTTCATTTCACAATCAAAAGGAGGATTTCCTGTCTCGGCACTGCAAGCGGCGCAAGTGGGAGTGTGTGTCTGCATCAGTTTTCCTTTTGCTCAGAATCCCATCATTGCTACTGTACCACTTTTACAGAGTGCATCAGGTTCACTGGGACCATGAATCCAAATATGGCACACACTGACCTCTGCCAAATGACCTAAACCACCTCAATAAATTTGAAGATTTCTTCATGATTTTCCTAATTATCGTCATCATCATCATACGTTTACTTTCCTTGTGAACTTAGCCAGGTCATGGGAATGTGCTGGAATGTGTGTGAAGGACAAGATTGACTGGTAGAGCACAAGGGATTAGACGAGGGAGAATTTATTTCACAGTTGACTCCAGTCAGAGTGTTTGTGATATGATTAATGTCGGTGAGTAAAAAAAACCCTGGGAAAGAAGATTTATAAATGTATTACCATGGTGTGACCTTTATTAGTGATCTGATCTTGCAGAAACAATGGCTATTCTATTAAAAGATAAGAAGGTAAGAATGTAAAATAAAGTTTTATGTGAACAAACCTTGTAAATTACATGTTAGAAGCCGTTACTTAAAAATATATCATTCGACTTGAGGCAGATCATTCCACTCTAACATAACGAGCAATGTGAGAGAGTTTCACAACTTCTTATGATTGACAATGTGAAAAAGAAAAGACAGAGAGGCATCAATATATTACTGCCTGTGACAGGGTTCAGCAAATACAATGACGGCTGTGAACAGAACAGGAATTTTCTACTGTTTGAGCCCAGAGTGCATTTAGAGGGTGATTATGTACATGCAATCACATCCCGACAGTGATTTTCATTTATCATCACTCCACTTAATGAGTTGACCTGAATGTGGTCCAACTGCAAGACTCAGCTGACAGGGTGTCGGTAAGCTACAAATGGAGCCAGTCACCACCAAATAAGGAAATAGAGGGAAATATGTCTAAAGATATTTAAGGTACATGGTCCGGGAGTGAGATACTGACAATTCCTGCAATGTTTTTAAGTCTAACACAGTGTGTATCTAGAAGTGTTGGAACTATTATATGAATCATAATGCCCATATGTGTCTCACATGGGCTTCTGATGGGCTGGAATTTGTCTCCCTTTCTGGCAACTCAAACGCATTATCATGTGCAATTTGGGCGACCCTCAGTCCCAAGTGTGATATCTGTCTCTTACCATGTGGGATAAACATGGGTTACCACAGGCTAGTGAACATTTTTAAATCATTAATTTTTTCTGTTCTGCTTCAAACAAACCAACCGGTAGGAGTAACTACTGCAGGGACGAGGATGTGATAATTCACCACCTCACATGAGCTGCTGTCCATTATGGCCCCCATCCTTGGCCCACCTTTTAGAGGCAGTGTGATTGAACACAGACTTTTAGAGGTAATGGTAAGATAAGAGAGATACTCCACCAAACAACACAAGTCCTGAAATTCCAAGCATGTATGTCTTGAATTTGTTCTTTTAACCACACAGAAGTGTTTTAGTGTGAGTTTTCCTTAAGACACTTTTCACATCAATTCCAAAATCTAACAAGGCAGCTGAGAGATTTCATAATCAGAATTTAGTTTCTAGAGGATTCAAATCTATATTCAGCACAAATTGTACAATGTGTGAAAAGCTGCAAGGCTTAGATAAATATCATTTTCATACACAACATCTGTGTATGCGAGTCTCAGATTCCCTTGTTTTGAATTTTGATAAAATGACGTCGTCCACTAGACACACACTAGACACAAGCTAGCAGGTGGAAATGTATCCAGCGCCTTGTATGTTTACTTTTGCATCATGTCATGTTTTGAGTGTCTGCCTGGAAAGTAGGAAGTGACATGTTTATCAACTGTTTAGCTGGCAAGATAATTTATGTGATATTTTGGCTGAGCATCAAAGCTGGTGAAACAGCCTGGAGAAAAAAAAAAATCAATGATTCATAAATTTATCTACAAATTGCACTCTATGTGGAAAATTTATACTGGCTTAAAACACTTAACTTTATGGGGGATAAGGGTTATTGAGCTCACAAATAATGACCGAATAGAAGAGAAGTTAGGAAATTGTAAGTCAGAACTTGTTTTGTTATTGAATAAAACCAAAGCC